AACAAGCACTTAGGATTTCAGGTTCATGTACCTTGGAAGATTTTTATTAAATCTGGGCATTCAGATTCATTTGCATTTACAAGAGTGGTTCTTACCACCTGTTTCCTATGGGTAATAAGTAGGAAAGAGGATGTAAAGTTACAAACCAATGCTTTTCGATGACAGAAGATTGGGTGAAGGAAGGAGATTTGGAAAGGGAAGAAGTGCAGCTCATGTTTTTTAGTCACATCTTAAGACATAATGGAAATGGTGAAATATGGTGGGGATTCTAGCTGATGGGGAGCAGCTGGGCCTTATCAGTTCTCTTCCTGGTCATATCCAGCAGCCTTTTGTCCCTCATCTGGCTAGTCACTTGCTGTTGGGTGTAAATTTCTTTACATATCCTGTCAGCATTGATTCTTTGTTTTCTTGTGTAGTAGTTAATTACCTTTCCTGCCAAAATGATTTTTCAAGTCTAAAGTGGGGACTGCTACTTTAATTTAAATGCTCCGCTAGTACTAGTGGTTTGTCATTGGTGGACAGTTTAACTGCGTACTAGTAATGTGAAAATGCGTGGTGAGGACCCAATACCACTTGAGTTGCCTATGTGAAAGCAGTTTTCTTGCATTCCAGGCCCTGTTCTTCAAGCCTTCCTTGTTTGTTCTTCTTCTAGCTCACGTTGACACCAGCGCAGCAGCAGCTACTACTGCAGCAGGCCCAGGCCCAGGCCCAGCTCCTGGCCGCTGCTGTGCAGCAGCACTCGGCCAGCCAACAGCACAGTGCTGCTGGGGCCACCATCTCAGCCTCCGCTGCCACGCCCATGACACAGATCCCCCTGTCGCAGCCCATCCAGATTGCACAGGTGAGGAGGCCAAGGTCACAGCGGCAGCAAACAAGTGATACATGGAAAAACTTGACTGAATATTGTTAGCCTTTTGCTTGTTACTGTGGATCTTCAAAAGCCCAAGGAACTCTAGACGAAGGAGGCATTATCCTTCTTCACTGAGTCAGAAACAATACACGTGTTTGCTTATTGAGTTGATATTATAAATATATAGCTGATTATTTGGATAACTGAATGTTTATGTTAAGCAACAGTTCTTGAGTAAGTAGCTGGCATATTTATGAGGCAAGGGATTACTGTGTTTATCTTAATTAGCTAATGATAGCAGGGAAGAGTTCTGTCATATGCTCTACGGTAAATGTTGCCACTCTTTGAGAAAGACAGAATGTCTTCTTTCTGCTGTGGAGTGATTAGGACCATGGAGAACTGCAGAAAAATGTTACAGGATTTCAGTTTTCACATTTTAGAGTAAAATATCCAAAGATACTAAAAATTTACTTCAAGAGTCATAAAGAATGGGACCAAAAAAGAAAACAAGTGAAATCCTATATCTCAAGGAAATGAAAGGGGGTGTGAGAAGTTATATACGACATATATCAAGAAGTCTTAAGAACTAAGCAGTTGCCTCTATGTCTCCAGAAGAGAGGGGAGGTGCATTTAAGCTGTAACACGAGTTTGACTAGATACTTGAGATGGAATTAGACTCATCTTTATTACTGTGTGGACAGTCTGTATCAAGATAGTGTTTTGATTTGGACCATTTTCTTCATCAAATAAATTATTTTAGTAAGTGAACCTTATCTGAGACTTTATCTGAAATTGATAAAAAAATTTTATACCTAACAGATTTCTCAATTGAGTTTGATAAGCTGGTGTCAAATTTCAGGAATTAGATCTTTTAATTTATTGATAGAAATTTGGAAAAACACCCTCAATTTTTACTTTATAGAGAAAAATTGGGTCAAATATTTAAAAGTCTCTCTCTCTTTTTTTTTTTTATTGGTTTTTCGAGCCAGGGTTTCTCTGTGTAGTTTTGGTGCCTGTCCTGGATCTGGATCTCGCTCTATAGACCAGGCTGGCCTCGAACTCACAGAGATCCACCTGCCTCTACCTCCCGAGTGCTGAGATTAAAGGCTTGCGACACTGACGCCTGGCTTTTTAAAAAGCCTTTTAAAGTTAATGTTGGTCTTTGTTTAGACCAGATCTAAAGGAACAGAACTTACAGAATGAATACATATTAAAAGGGATTTATTAGAGTAACTTACAGTTGGTCCAGCCAGTCCAACAAAGGCTGTCTCTCAAAGGAAAGGCCAAAAATCCAGTAGTTGTTCTGTCTGTGCAGCTGATGTCTCAGCTAGTCTTTAGTCTTTCTTGGACTCCATAAAAAGTAGGTTCTAATACCAGTAGAGGAGAGATGAACTTAGCCAGAGAAAGTGAGAGCAGAAGCTTCCTTCTTCCATGCCCTTTTACATGGGCTGCCACCAGAAGGTGTGGCCCAGATTTAGCAAGGGTCTTTCCATTTCAAGTGATCAATCAAGAAAATTCCTCACAGGGATGCCTAGCTGCTTGCATTTTAGTTGATTCCAGAGGTGGTGAAATTGACATCTGAGATTAGCCTTCAAAACGGTAGCAGGTGGAAGTAAAGAATTAACTCCAGGGCTGTCTTCTGACTTCCTCATATATGTGTGCCATGTGCAAACCCACCACACACTAACAACAATAAAAAGAGTTGTAACATTGAAAACAGCCCCGCCCCCAAGACTGTAGACATTTATTCTGTATTCACTTATTCTAACAGATTTTAAGTAACTAATGAAAATTGGACTTAGCATAAGTCGTGATACTATACATCATGCCCTCAAAAATATAACTTCTTGCAGAGGCGCTAAGGTTTTTTGGTTTTGATATTGGCTATTTTTGTATGTGTGTGAGTCAGGACATTTATCAGGAGTCAGTTCTCTTCTTCCACCATAGGCTCTAGAGACCAAACTCAGGTCTTCAGTCTCGCACAGCAAGCACTTTTACTCTCTGAGCCTCTCTCTGGCCTGAGGCCGGAGGATTTCTCACATGTTGATGTAGTCCTGGGAAGCCAGACTGTCGGGACATGAAAAGCAAATGCTAAATATTGTCTCATTTTTACTTGATATGACGGAGGTCACCATCTAGGAACCTTATAACTAAGCCAGCTTTCATTTCTGAATCTCTCTAATCTATATTTTGCTTCTGAGCTTTTAGGATCTTCAACAATTGCAACAGCTTCAACAGCAAAATCTCAACTTGCAACAGTTTGTGTTGGTGCATCCGACCACCAACTTGCAACCAGCACAGTTTATCATCTCACAGACGCCCCAGGGCCAGCAGGGTAAGCATCTCCCGAAAGCTTACGAGGGGTGCAGCAATGCTGTCCACTTAGTATTCCAGACACCTTAACTAGCATTGTGCCCTAACGGTGTCCATAGGAGCAAGGCTTTTGTTAAGTTTTGGTTTCAAACTACCGGTATTCATGAGAACTAGAAGTAATGCCTTCAATCAGGAACACAGGTTACATATATGAGTAAGAATGAAATTTGAGACCTGAAAGATCAGTAAAGGCTAGCTTATTAAAGAATCTCACAAGAAATTTATAGGACTTTAACCTGAAATCATACAGCTTAATCATTTCCAAGGCTCAGCTTATTTGCAAGTCATTGGATGAATGAGAAGGGTAGGTTCCCAAAATTTTAACTAGTTCTTTGTGGAGTTGAATTTGAATGTCTGATAGCTTCCAATAAAGTTTTCTGTAGGATATTGAAAAATTAAAGATTTAAGCAGAAAAGTGACATTAACCACTTGTATTAAGGAAGCTTAATTTACACTGAAACTTGGAATAGTCAAGAAGAGAATTAGTAATCCTGGTCAGCAGAGTTTTGCAAGGTTCTGTTGAGATTGATAAAAGCTGAGCTCTGATTGTAAGGGCAGACAAGAGAAAATGATAAAGCAGAAAAAAAGGGCTTGAGCCAAGCGTGGTGGCTCCTGCCTTTAATCCTAGCACTTGGGAGTCAGTCGGGATGATCTCTTGAGCTTAAGGCCAGCTTGGTTTACATAGTGAGACCCTATTTCAGAATAAACTAAAAACCAAGAAAGGATTTAGTGACCAGTTATTGTAGTAGGCATCTAGATGATTAAGTTTAAGAATAATTTTAGTATTTTCGTTCAAAAATTGTAGGGATTCAGTTAGGAAACACATAAAAGTACTTTCTGAAAATGTGCCTTCTACAGACTAACCTCTCAATTTTTGCCACTATTACCATTGACATCCTCATATCAATATCAGCAGCAGTCCATAGATAAAACGTAGAGAATGAAGTTTGTTCCTTTATCTAATAAAAACCAGCTTGAAAGTAATTGGGACTCAGGCGATGACTTAGTGGGGAAAGCATTTGCATAAGCATGAGGGCCCATGGAGAGACTTCTGACCTCAACCTGGCCTCTGTAAGCACGTGTGTGTGCATACCCATGTACACGAGTGTGTGTGTGCATACCCATGTACACATGCACTCAACACACAGACACACACACACGTGCACGCACGCACGCATGCAGAGTAATCCAGAGTCAGTGTGTACCACTGCTGTTGAGTTGTTATAATCTTAGTAGCATAGGACAGGTCCCAGATTTCATCTAATGAGATTGGCCAGCAGTATGAAGGAAAAGGCTGCATTTCCAGTAGAGTCACTGAGATTGAGTCAGTCTGATTTAGTTTTGTGTGGAAGGGATAAGGATTAATTTGTTAGGATTTTAACAACAACAGCAAAGGATATGTCTAGTGTGAGATTAGCCTCCAATTGAGCAATCATTTCTGCCTTTTTTTTTTTTTTTTGAGGGAGGGAATGTTGTTAAGCTAAGAATTGACAATATTGCTGTGATTATATAACTATTTGAAAACTAACAAGAGAAACCCTATTCTTCCAGAGTTGATTTTTCTTGGAACAATTCTTACTGATAGGTTTCTGAGTCATATTTCATGGCAACTTGTATTCTACCTTTTCTACTGTCAACATTAATTTTGAAACTAAAGAAACACTCTTGTTAGAAAATCTTGAATTTTGTGTTTGAGGTCTCTGTTATTTGGGGCAGGCACTAGTAGAAAGAGTTGGTCCTCACAGAAGTGCCAGGCCTCTCTCGGGCCCTTTCGGCATCTCAGCTGACCTTAGTTGTCAGAGAAGGAGAGGGAAGGTGGCTTAAAGTCTCAATTTGTTTAGAAGATGTGGCTACTGTGAACCAAAATTAATCATTCAGGATGACCACTTCTGATTAAATATGATTATTTAAATGCTGTTACCAAAGAGAAACAAAAATCCAACTTTCCTGTTAAGCTTTAAAGAAACTCATCGATAAAATTTCTGAGTTTGTATTTTCTTTTGTTTCATTTTTCATTGTTTTATAATCTTCTTGGCTTTTTATTCTTTTCTAAATAATTTCAATAGATTAATTCTGATTATTAACATAAAATGTAATTTTATTTTTCTCACTAGACAATACTTTTGAGTGTGTTCAAACCCGTAAAATCAACAGTTATAGTTATTGGCTTAGCCGTCTATTGAGTACCTGCTAAGTGTCATATGTCACTCTAGTTATTGGAGTTAAAAGTTTCAGCAAGGTGAAATTCCCTGCACTTACTAGAAATCAAACAGGAGTAAACATAAACAAGTGACTTGGATAACAGTATGTCCAAGGAAGATGGGCGATTGGACTGACCTGGTAATAGTTGACATGTAGAACATAGGTGTGTGGTCTGAAGAAAGCTTGTCTGGAGAGTGACGTCTGAACTGAGGACTGAGTGAGGTGGAGATTGCTGTAACTAGGTGTGGATCTGGATGACCGGCCGTGCAGGCAGTGAAGAAGACAGAGGACCTGGGGGAAGGAACCTGCCCTAAACCAAGAAAGGGAAGGCCAATGTAGCTGGAGTTCAGTGAATGAGAGAAGGTGGTAAGAAGTGAAGTGGGAGAGCCTAGGCAAGCACTGGAGAGGCAGCTCACTGCCAAGTCTTGCCATGCAAGCATGGAGATCTACGTTCAGATGTGTAGAACCCCTATAAGCACTGAGTGAGTGCGGTGGCTCTGCCTGTGCCTGGAAGACAGAAACGCAATCTCCAGAGCAAGCTGTTTAGCTAGCCTAGTCTATCTGAGAGCTTGGGATTCAGTGGAGAGATTCTTCTTCAGTGAGTAAGGTAGACAGTGAGGAAAACTATACACACGTACATACAAAGAAGAAAAAAGCAAGCAATACAAGACCAGATTACCTAGAACTAAAGAGATATTCTATTAAATGTAATAGAAGGCTACTGGAGTATTAGGTTGGTTTGGTGGCAAGGTCTGGCTATAGAGCACAGATGGACCATGAACTTTTGCATCAGCCTTCTATATGCTGAGACTACAAGCATGTACCACCAAGCCTGGCTTACTGATGTTAGGTAATCAAAAAGGTCACCTTAAATACTTTATAAGTTTGAGCTTGTAGAGGGGTGGAGAGTTGGCTCAGTGGTTAACGGCACTGGCTGCTCTTGTAGAGGAACCAGGTTCAACTCCCAACACCCACATGGCAGCTCACAACCATCTATAACTCTAGTCCCAGGGGAGCTAGCACTTCCGCACATATATACATGCAGGCAAGGCACTCCTACACATAAAATAAATAAATGTAAAAATATTTTTTTTTTAGATTGAACCATAGATACTTGGTAGTCATTTAAACATGAATGGGTTTTTTGTTTGTTTGTTTTTTCTGAATCTGGCTTTTAAGAGAAGCTTATAACCATGTATATTCAATTTACTTAGTCTTAGCATAGTTGCTTCATAATACAAATAAAAGGAAAGGTTCTCTGGAAAATCCCAATCTAAATTTAATATATTTGTTGTATTGAGGATCTATATCATCAAATAAACACCTATGTTAATTTCTTAAATTTAGGCAATGTTTACTTACGAACAAATGATAAAATCTGACATCTTTAATTTTTTTATTATTGTCTTAACGTCTCCAAATTTAGTAGCTAAGGAAATCAGAAAGATATGTTAACCTACTGTAACTTACTTTCTCTCATTTCCACCTCTGCTCCTATCTCGTCACGACCTTCTATTTAGTATTTCAACATGATTATATTTGAAACTAAGCACTTAGATTAAGTTCTTCAATATAGATTTATTCTGGGTTGTCCCTATTTTTATAACATTGCAAAAAACACCAAACAACAACAACAACAAAACCCTATAGACTTAAATAATCGACTATGTACTACAAATACTTCCAGGGGTTTGAAACAAAGTGTCCAGCCTGGCCTCTAACTTTGGGGCTCAAGTGACCCTTCTGCCTCAGCCTCCAGAGCAGCTGGGACTACCGGCATACACCTTCACAGCCATTCTACTTACCAGTGACTTCCCACTAAGATGGTCTAGTGTACATTTGTGTACATTGCCCCTTTGTTATCACTAAAGGGGCATGTGCAAAGAACTTGAAAACAATCTTCTCCCACTTACAGGATTGCCTGCTACTTTCAGAAACTGATTCCCTGTTCTAAGAGTCCTTACTTAGAGCAGCATTTCTCTCCCTGTGGGTCGCAACCCCTTTGGGGGTCAAATGACTCTTTCACGGGGGTCGTGTATCAGATATCCTGCATATCAGATATTTACAGTACAATTCCTAACTAGCAAAATTACAGTTAGGAAATAGCAATGAAATAACTTTATGGTTGGGGGTCACCACAACATGAGGAACTGTATTAAAGGGTCACAGCATTAGGGAGGTTGAGAACCACTGTGTTAAAGGATTCTAATGAACTCTGGGTTAAGAAGTTGAACTCATCTTTAAATTTCCATATACTTTCATTTAGAGTGGTTCCTCATGTTCTTCCTCTTCTTAGGAAAATAAGGCCTCTCAAAGAACTTATTCAGATTACACTAAAGATATACAAGCTTTGATTTATTGTTACGTGTTTTCATACCATCTTGTGTTTAATGTGATCAACAGTATTGAATTTTAGGCAAAGAAATTAGATGAGTCTGAAGACCAACAAAACTACCAGGAAACCAGTCAGAAACTTTGAGTTTATATTCTTTTTTATCCCCCTGAAATATTTGGTTTTCACAGGTCTCCTGCAAGCGCAAAATCTTTTAACGCAACTACCTCAGCAAAGCCAAGCCAACCTCCTACAACCACAGCCAAGCATCACCCTCACCTCCCAGGTCAGTTTCTTACTCCATTGTTTTACTAATTTAAAATGAAACAAAAATACCCCCCAGTAATAATAACCTCAGGTGTTCAAACTCTGACCAAAAACTCAATGCTGGGCTTATTAGCTTGATAAAGCAGTGCCACCAGTCATGATGAAGACTGATATTTTTCATGGTCCTTCTTTAAGTTCCTAAAGAATAGCCATATTGGTAGTAAATGGGGATGAATGATAGCTGTCTGATGTTGATAGATAGAAACACTGAAATGGAAGACCTAGGAATTCACTTAGAACCTGTCACTGATCCTTTTCCTTGCTGAAACAAGGATTTTTGTTTGATTTTCATATTTTCTCAGGACTGAAATGTTGCTCTGTGTCCTTTCCTCAGAAGACGTAACAGTCGTCATCACACAGAAAGCGCAGTTCTTAGGCATCTGAGAGTTTAAGTTGCATGTTTGTCTCTTTATCTCGTGGTGACTGTGACCGTGTGTGTCAGTTTGCCTCGTCATCCTTAGTGGCTCCCCCGACTCCTCCCTTCCCTGCCTGACCCTTCCTAAAGTGGAGACGTTGCGGGAGGAGAAATGAATGAAGGGCTCAGTGGTTCTTGCTGGGCAAACAAGAGGACCCGAGTGCTGATGCTCAGAGCCGTTTAAATGCAGGTTAAGTGAGCATGGTGGCTCACCTGTAGTTCCAATGAGGGATTCCCTAGGCGGTTACCTGGCTATTGAAATTAGCCTATCGGCAAGCTCTGGGTGGAGAGTGATCAACCTCTGTCCTCTACATGCATGTACATATATCCACATGTATGCACACATGCATACACACAAACATGAAAATAAAAAAGTATAGTAATTAAAACTTAATATATCACCTAATTTCACAGGCTTAAATATTCACTTATAGTAATTCTTCATCTTGGTCAGTTAGAAGAGTTTAGTTTTTGTTTATTGGGCTTTTTGTTGTTGCTGCTGTTCTGGTCACTGTGACAAATACCTGAGAAAAATAATTTAAAAGATGGAGTTTTATTTTGACTACATAGATTTGGTAACCAGTTACTTGCTACTAACCACTGGGCCCTACCTCTAGCCCCCTGTAACCAAACAGTTTATTAAAAGTGGAAAACTAGATACCATCTGATGTCAAGAATTACTACAAAATCCCAATAATGAATGCATGGTATTGGCATATAGAGAGAAATGTAAGCCAAGGGGAGATGTCTGTCCAATAGACAGAAATGTAAATAGCCAGCTAAGTTTCCAAAGGTACCAAAGGATTCCAGTGAGAAAAAGAAAGTCTTTGAAACAAATGACTATTATAAGTAAAAGGTGGTAGAGACCACCTTTTTTTCATACCTTTTATGAAGATTAGTTTGAAATGAGTCATAAACCTAAACTTTAGGAAGAAATGTTTGTGCCATTGGGTAAGACAGTGATTTCTTAAACAAGACACAAGAAGCCGTAACCATAGAAGAAACAATACATTTCAGGAAAGTTAAAATCTTATCTTAAGAGAATGGGAAGAAAAACTACAGTTAAGGAGAAGACAGTCTTCATGTAAAACATTTGATAAATGATTTTGTTTTAAGATTTATTTTTAATCGTTGGTGATTGGGGAGGTGGGGGTGTTTGTGCAGGTACTCAGGGAAACCAAAAGAACATGTTGAATCTCTTGGTGCTGAGGTCCAGGCAGCTGTGAGCTGCTGGGTGTGCATGTGGGGAGCTGAACTTGGGTTCTCTTCAAGAGCAGCATACACTCAGTCACTGAACAATCAGACCATGGTTAAAAAAAAAAAAAAATATGACATGAGACAATCAGACTTAAGCTAGTGAGAAGCAAAAAAAAAAAAAAAAAAAGCAGTTGCCACTTAAGAAAAGCTGATGTTCAGTAAGCAAATGAAAATATATTCAAAACAAGTAGTTATTAGGAAATATCAATGTGCCTTCAGTAGACTGAGTACAAGTTATAAAGAATTTGAGACCAAGTATTGGTGAGAAAGTAAAGCGACTAGATTCTCATACATTACTAGTAGTCTTGCAAAATGTACTAACTCTTTCTAAATTAGTTTGGCATTTACTTACAAATTAAGCCAGTGGGTGGTGGCACAAGCCTTTAATCCCACAGAGGTCCACAGAGAAACCCTGCCTCCAAATAAATAAATAAATAAATAAATAAATAAAGCTGCACTTTATGGAGGCTTGCCTCCGAATGAATGATCCAGTAGTTTTACTGTTTAAAATGAAAGCAAAAAGATGTATATGAATACTTATAATAGGTTGATTAATAATTATCCCAAACTGTTCATCAGATAGTAAGTTACGTAAACTTCTTGAATAACCATGTGACCAATTTTTAATTGAGCAGTAAGAAGAAATGTACTTTTGATAGCTACAGTGGCATGTATGAATTTCAAAAAGCCTTATGCTACATGACAGAAGCTGGCCTTAAAAGACTAAGTCCTGTATGGTTTTAGTTTACATGACATTTTAGAAAGGACAGAACTGTGGTATAGAAATCCTATCAGTGCTTGTCAGGAAGTAAGGATTGATAATGAAGATTCATAGCAAAGGGTTCAGAAGAAATCTGGGGAAGGATAGTAAAGATACCTATATGGTGTTAGTTACACAACTAGATCCAGCTGCAAAAGCATCGAACTGTACCGCAGTTTTAAATGTTAAGTTTTTTAATATGCTGAATGCAAAATAAGTAAGATTGGTTTTGTGACATACATACACCAGAGGCCTCTCTCTGGCCTCTATGCTGTGCACATGTAGCAAGCTTCATCCTGACTCTGATCAGTAAATGCTATACCACCATTCCAGATCTGGCCCGCTGCAGCCAGGGATTTTAGAGTAAGATACCAGCTGTCAAAAGGTACCCACGCTACTTTTAGTCCATTATTATTTGACAAAGAGGCTACTTGATGCTGGAGATGAAATAATAGTCTAATAGTTGAGACTCACCTCCACCTATCAGTGTTCAGCAACATGAGATTCTAATATATTTGGTGTCATGTGTAGTTCCTCTAAAAGGTGAGGTTAAAATTACTCAATGTCATCATGTCATGAAGATGTGCTTTATTGTCTTTACTGAAGCAGGATAGCAGAGGGATTTGCCCCAATTATTATGTCATGACTCTTATGTAGTTTTCTGGGTCAGTAAGTTCCCATGGAGCAAGCCTTAATAATGAGGTCAAGGTCAAGTAATGTAAGGCCCATCTAAATTACAAGAAGGAAATCCTGGTTTGTAATCTTACCTGGGCTGCTGTTCATAGAAGGGTTCAACTGAGCAGTTAGGATACAGAATCAGGAGCACCTCTATTTAGTGAATACTCAGAAGGAACGCCCCACTTAAGGCTTGTGAGTAGAACAGAGTAGCCTGGTGTTTGAATGATAAGAACATTTAATATTTTCTTTAAAAAGGAAAGGGGACTGGAGGGATGGCTGAGTAGTTAGATCCTCTGGCTGCCTTTCAGAGGACATGGGTATGATTTCTAACACATCTGTGTCTTCGCTCTGCAGGCACTGCATGCATATGGTGCACAGACATTCATTGAAGCACAAACATAGAATAAAAATATTTAAAAAGAAAAAGAAAGAAAGGAAGGAGAACCCTGGGCTCAGTCTTGAGTACAAGGGGTAGGGTGGTGGACTATGCCCTCATGCCCCAAAATAAACGCTAGAGAGATTTAAATAATTAGGTTAAAATGCAGAGAATAAGGGGTCATATTATTGGGAAGAATTTTCTCTTTTTACCAGAAGGGATTTTATCACTGAGAAATAACTAAAGTTTTCTTTCTCAAAGCAAGATCGTAACAATGGGGAGAAATTCACAAAAATTTCAGTTTAGAGTTTATACACACTGAAAAAAGTTTTAAAAGCTGATTGAAAGAATTATTTGTATTAATATAATAAGAAAGGGGTATATATACCATAATATTTGAAGAACTGGCCTAATGTAAGAATGAGAATAAAGATACCATTAATATATGATTGAGACCAGAGTCCAGTGCAAGGAAATACAGGTGAGAATTGATACACGGCAAGTGTCTTGTTTTGAGTAATCAGAGAAGTATTGTGTCAGAAGTAACGGACCATTTACTTCCTGGTGAACAAAATACTGTTTTAACTGAGAAAACAAGTCCTGTGTCAGGAACTGTGTCGTGTGCTGGGACGTAGCATGTTGTTATCAGAAACATGACAGTATTTATCGAGTTGTCAGAAAAGTCCTTCATAAACTTATCTTAAAGAACTTTTTGCTGCTGCTGATGCCTGTCCTGGATGTTGCTCTATAGACCAGGCTGGCCTCGAACTCACAGAGATCCGCCTGCCTTTGCCTCTCGCATGCTGGGATTAAAGGCGTGCACCACCACCAATGGCAAGAACCATTCTTGAGAGAGAGAGAGAGAGAGAGAGAGAGAGAGAAGCAGAGGGAGTAGAAGAGAATGTAATTTCTTTGTTCTTGGTTTTCATGAGACAGTCTTTTTTTTTTTTTTTTTTTTTTTTTGGTTTTCTCTGTGTAGCTTTGTGCCTTTCCTGGAACTCACTTGGTAGCCCAGGCTGGCCTCAAACTCACCGAGATCCGCCTGGCTCTGCCTCCCGAGTGCTGGGATTAAAGGCGTGCGTCACCACCGCCCGGCGAGACAGTCTTTTCTTTGTATTTATTTTTGAATTTCATACAATGTATTTGATCATATTCCTCATCCTCCCAGCTTCTGCCCCACTGCCAAACTCACCCAAATTCATGTTCTTTTTCTCTGTTCTTTGCTTTTTTGACTTTTCGAGACAGAGTTTCTCTAGCTGTCCTGGAACTCACTTTGTAGATCAGGCTAGCATTGAACTCACAGAGATCCACCTGCCTCTGCCTGCCAAGTGCTGGGATTGAAGGCGTGCGCCGCCACCGCCGCCGCCGCCACCGCCACCTGACATTCCTTGCTATTTTTTTAATTTAAAAAAATCCATGGAGGGCTGGAGAGATGGATCAGTGGTTAAGAGCATTGACTGTTCTTCCAGAGTTCAATTCCCAGCAACCACATGGTGGCTCACAACCCTCTATAGTGGAATCTGATGCCCTCTTCTAGGATAAAGTTATATATGCAGATAGAGCACTCATGCATAAAATAAATAAATCTTTAAAAAAATACAATTAAAAACAATCCCATGGAGCTCAGCTTGTATTGGCTGATTAATCCTGAGCATCCTCAGCAGCGGGGGGACTTTACGCCCATCTTCTCTCCTCCGTGCTAGGAGTTTGTCTGGCTTGAGCTTATGTGGATCTGTTTCCTTAAGTTGCCTGGACATTATAGTTATAAGCTGAAGTGTCCTTATTATTCTGTTCCTTCTCCAACAGCCAGCCACCCCAACTCGCACAATAGCAGCGACCCCAATTCAGACCCTTCAACAGAGCCAGACGACACCAAAGCGAATTGATACTCCCAGCTTGGAGGAGCCCAGTGACCTTGAGGAGCTTGAGCAGTTCGCCAAGACCTTCAAACAAAGACGAATCAAACTTGGATTCACTCAGGTAGGATGACCTCTGTTCTAGTTCACACTCTGTTGCTGTGATAAAACACTAACTAAAACCAACTGGAGGGAAAAAAGGCTTTATTCCACTTCCAGTGCTAGCCCACCAGTGAGGGAAGGTACAGGAGGAACCTGGAGGCAGGCACTGGAGCAGAAGCCTGGAGGAACACTGATGACTTGTTCCACTGGCCTTCTTAACAGCCCAGGCCCACCTTCCCAGAGATGGCACTGCCCGGTGTCCTGGGCCTCTTCGTCAATTAGCAGTCAAGAAATGCCGTGTTGATATACCCACAGGCCAATCTGATAGATGTAACTCTGCAATTAAAATGCCCTCTTTCCAGATCTGTCAGGTGTGACAACCAAATTTGGCCATTGCAGTGTTCTCTTACATATCCTCCCATGGCTGACTGACACTTTCTAAGGAGCAGGATGTTTCTTGGTCATGCTGATTTTGGGTTTAGCATTTACAGTTTTAGAATATTGTGCATTTGGTTATGTTATATCCATACATTCATTTGCAATAAAATATTAGATTAAAAATTTCCAAGTGTGTTTCACAACCCAGCCCTCAGAAATGGTCTCAGTAGAATGTGTGTTTCAGTGGAGTGTGTCGGGGTGACTGACGTAGCTGTGCTAAGGGTTTGGTGTTAAAGAGCATGTGGTGATGGTGCGGACTACCGCTACACACGGAAGGAAGGGGGAGAGAGGGAGGACCGGACGGACGGAGTCTTTGGAAAGACTTCCTGAAAGCTAGTTTGGGGATAGAGAATGCTTCCCCTCCTTCCTCTCAATCTACACTGAGATCAGTCAAGTAAGAATCTACTGAAGATTTAAAAAATGGTGAATTAATCAAAACCCGTATCTTTTAATGTCAACTAGCAGAGGGCTTGAAAAGTGAAATGGGTGTGCTAAATGGTTTAAGCAAGCATTTGGGTACACAGTGGTTTTTGGTTTTGTTTTTGTTTTTTTCCGAGTGCTGCCACTGACTATATATACTTATATATACTTGCCTGTCAAAAACAATGCTTTGAAAGCAGGAAAGAAAAAATAAATAAAAAACTTAATAAATAAATAAAATAAAAAATAAACTTATATTTATGTAAAATAGCTAAAGATCATTAGCCGAAAGAAAAAAATCTTGACGTATGGATTGAGTTGTGTATTTATAGTATCCGGGAAAACTGATATTTTCTTTCCAGTTCATTTACATTCTTTCCAAACTAGGTTGTGTTGAAAGTATGTAATGCACCACCTGCTCTGGTAGATCAAAATCAAGGTGACATCACTGTCTACTATGTTCTAGATGTTGTTAGGGACTTCGGTGTCTTTTATTCCTTGTATTTGAAGATTGATTTTTGCTCAAAGAAACTACATCTTAGGTATTTTGAATAGATATAACTTTACATGAAATGCATTTATGTTTTTGAGGCATTTCAGATATAAAGAAACAAATTACAGGGCTGGTGCTTGCCACCAAGCCTGATGGTCTGTCTGAGCTTGATCCCAGAACTCACGTGGTGCACCCATACCCATACAGATGCATCTGCACATGCACAGACCAACACATACACACAAAATAAATAGGTAAAGACAAAAATTTTAATTATACTCCGGAAACATTTCAGTAATTTTGAAGCACTTAAATGAAATAATTTGTTTTAAACATAAAAATTAGATAAACTAGAATGGTATAGATAAATTAATAGACTAAGAAAGTTTAAGGCTAGCATTTTAACAGTGTCTAGGTTTTGGCTATTAACACATTACACTCTGGGGTCCTCTGATAAACAGTTGCATCAATGCTAAAATCAGAAATATTAGACTTTTAAAAATCTTTATCTTTAACCAAAGATTGGTTTCCCTTTTCACTTTTTGTGGCATTTGATTCAATATATTACCACTGAGTAGATAGAAGTCACCCCCTCTTCCCTCCCTCTTTCTCCTCCCCCACTTCTCATCCCTCTCTTCCCACCTCCCCTATACACACTGTCCCTCCATCCCAGCATCTGACTTTGTTCTGTGATTTGGTTTGCTTTGATCTTGGCATGACTACTACTTATTTTTCAAAATGACTGATACAGAACTGGAAATAGTTTGCAAATCCTGCCTGCTTGGATCAGAGTACTTACTGCTGTTACAAGATGGGAAAATCAGCTGTTGACCTTTGTTTTTAATTCATATACCTTACTGTAATTATTCAAAAATGCTGTGTATTCAACTTATTCATAGTTATACACATGTACAGTAAGGTATTCAAGTTAATTCTTGAAATAAATCCCTATTCTTTGATTAAATACGTTTTAAATGGTTATTTTCTAATTATGTGTTTATCATTTTTGGTAAGCAGTGGGTAAATAATGTATGCCATTACACAATTAGAAAGCATGTTATAGTATACAGCATTTTTCAGGTGCAGTACATTCATTCATTATTTGCAGTGCAAACCTCTGCTCCTTCACTCCTTTTGTTCTTTTCAGAAAGGCCAAAGGGAAACAGTGTAGTTTGTATTATGTATTTTGAAACCAACTGCTAATTTGTATGAATAACCCAAGAGCTATAATACTACTAAACCAGGATGTACCAAATTAATGAAAATTAGCATATGAAGTGAGGGACCTGTCAGTAACTTTTCAGTTGCTGTGAAGAATCACCATGAACAAGGCAGCTTTGACCATCGTGGGGAGCATGGCAGGTAGTCATAGTGCTGAAGCAGTAGCTAAGAGCTCACATCTTGACACAACAACCGCGAGGCAAAGAAAGAGCTAACAGGGAATGGCATGGGCTTTTGAACCTCAGAGCCCACTCCCAATGGCACTTTTTCTCCAACAAGGCTATACCCCTAATCCTTCCCAAAAGTTCCACCAGATGGAGACCAGGAATTCAAATATATGAACCTAACCAGATATGGTGGTGCATGCCTGTGATCCCAGCACTGGGGAGGCAAAGGCAGGCTGATCTCTATGAGTTCAAGGTCAGCCTGGTCTACAAGGCTTGTAGCCATATCATAATGCAAAATACATTTCTTCCAACTTCAAAAGTCCCCATACTCTTTGAGTCTCAAGGTTGTTTCAAACTTCAAAGCCTCTTTTGAGTCTCAAGGCTGTCTGTTAATTGTAACCAACTGTAATACCAAAAGGCAATTACATTCTTCCAACATACAATGGCATTGAATATATATTAGCATTCCAAAAGAGAAGAATAGGAGGAAGTATAGGACCAGAGCAAGCCTGAAACCTAGCAGGGCATGGTCTGTAGTTCTAGTTCTTGTAAAAGGGCTTAGGTGGTTCTTCACATCTTCCCACTCCTTCCAGCTTTGTTTGACTGCAACACACATCTCTCTCTAGGGCTGGTTCTACTCCCTGTGTGCAGCTCTCCTTGGCAGACATCCCAGGGCTCTGGCATCTCCAACATCTTGGAGTCTCCAACATATTCCAGGCTTCCTTTTCATGGTTTCATGCAGTGGCCTCTTAGGCCTCCATGCAGGGACTCCCCTGTCTTTCTGGTCTTGGAGGTAGATTCCACACACAACCTGTTTGACTCCTGCATCCTTTTTTCACTCTAAAGCAAGAACCACATGGCCAGTGCTGCCAGCTCCTTCTGCTTGCTTGGCCTAGAATGTGGCCCTCCTTGAGTTACATTTACATAAACTTTGACTTGTTGTTACTCCTTAGGAACAGATGAATTCCTTAAGCTTTTTCTTTTCACAATTTGCAGGCTTAGCTAGGTGGGGTCTTTTTCTAAGGGTACGCCCTTTATTCCATTTTCCTTATCTCTTTCATCACAAACCTGGCCTCCAGCATTGAATTTCTTGGTGCTCTTTTTTCCTCAAACTGGACATTTTGTTTTTCTTTTTGCTCTGCTGCTTCTTTGTCATTGTAGATCTCTATAAGATCTATATAAGAATGATCACTAATAACCACATGACAGAAATTTTGAAATCTTCTCTAGCTATGAAATCAGTCTAAAACTCTTCAATTTAATCTCAGGCAGGTTTTTAGAACAAGGGTAAAAAGCAGCCACATCCTTTGCCAAAATATCACAAGAATTACCTATAGCCCAATTGCTAATATTGTTTCCTTCTAAAACTTCTTGAGCTGGGCCTCCATGGCCCACTTGGCTCTTAACCACTATTTTCTTCCAAACTCCTAATCCACAGTCCTAATGTCTTGCACGTGCCTCCAAAAAACCAACGTGGTCAGGCCTGTCATATCAGTAGCCCACATCCTGGTACCAACTTTATTGTTGCTTTCTATTGCTGTGAAGAGACATCATGACTAGGAAAACTTATAGAAAAAAGTTTATTGGGGCTTATAGTTCCAAAATGTAAGTCAGTTACCATCATGGTGGGGATCATGTCAATAGACAGGCATGGTGGTAGACCAGTATCTAAGAGCTCACATCCTGAGACACAACCAGGAGGCAGAGGGAATTAACTGGGAATGGCATGGGCTTTCGAAATCTCAACAGCCACACCTCCTAATCCTTCCCAAACAGCTCCACCAACTGGGGCCTAAGTATTCAGATATTTCAAACCACTACAGAATCTATTGCTTTTTATTGTTTTAAATAATCCTAAATTTAGTGAAATTGTATTACAAATCTCCATTAAGTGAATTTGCTTTTTACTGCCATTGTTCTAGTGGATTGGTAACACAGCTTATTTATAGCTGACAACTTAAGTCATTGGTGATTGGGGCGACTGGGGCTGTGCGTGCCCACAGAGGCCAAGGTAATGTTGAGTGTCTTCCTCCATCATGCTCCACTTTATTATTTGAGACAGGATCTTATAATTTAACTATACGGCTGGCCAGTGAGCTCTGGATCTGTGTATTTGCTGAGATCTCGAGTGCCGGGATTTCAGGCACATCACCTGCTTTTTACGTAGGTGATGGGGACCCAAATTTGTTTATCCTTGTGCAGCAAGCACTCTGCTGACTGAGCCTTCTGCTCAGCCCCGCCCCATGTTATTGTTTCTTAAACTTAAAATAATGTGTTTTTTAATAAACATTTTCTTTATCATTACTTGTCAAAATTATTAGTTTTCAGAGTAAGATATTATAGGCATTTGTGAAAATATTTAGTGAATTGTGCAGTTACAGTGTCAGAAAACATTTATTGCCACTTGATGTCATGTATTCAAAAAAATTCCTTGTTTTATTTAGTCCCAAATTTCTGGAAAGCTATAATCAAAACAAATAAAATCATGCAGATAAAAATATGTGGCTCATAAAGTATAAGTTGTGTCCTTGACATGTAGTAGGCACTGTATGAAGGTTCAGTCACTGAATGGAGTGACAGTGATAAATATATAGGTGAAGATTAATTCACCTATCCATATCTTTAGATACATTTGTATAAAAACATAATAGTATTTCTATTCCTCTTCATTCTACGTTGGCTCTCTAAGTTTTACTGTAATTAGAAGGAAATTAATAAATAATCCACTTCAGTTCTAGTTAAAGAGAGAGTATTCAAAGCCTACATTGATGGGAATTTTTTGTATTTGTGTTGCCCAGTACCATCACCACTACCCAGTAGTGGCTACTGAGTCCCTGAAAGGGTAGTGGTGCTGAGAAGGTAAAGTTCATGTATTTGCTTTTCTGCAGTTTAAATTTAAGCAGCAGTCACTTATGAGTGGTGACTAATGGAAGACATTGTGCATATATCTCTTGAGGTTAAATATTCAGTATACTTCATTTTATTTTGTAGTTCTGCTTTTGTCCTATATTAAACTTCTTAGTGAAAGTTGACATCTTGGCACATGCTTATAATCTCAGCACTTGAGAAGCCAGAGGATCAGGAGTTCATGACCAGTCACAGCTAAATAACAAATTTGAGACCATTCTGGGCCACATGAGACCTCTATTTAAATAATTATAATAATAAATTAAAATGAACAAAACCAGTCTTATATGCTTTTAAATACATCTTTTCTTTAACTCCACATATAATAGACAATCTGATCTCAAAAATACGGATTTGGGGGATTAAAAGAACTCAGATAATTCTAACTCAATTGTGTTCCTAAAGCAGGGCATAATAGCACCAGTTTAGAATCCTGGCGCTTAAGAAACAGGGGCAGGAAGATCACAAATTCAAAGCCAGTCGCTGTCTCAACAGATTGGGGCTAGAGAGATTGCTCATTGGTTAAGAGCATTTGCTATTCTTGCAGAGGGCCTGGTTCAATTCCCAGCTTCTTTATGATGGCTCACAATGATCTGTAACTCTAGTTCCAGGAAATGTGATGCCCTCTTCTGACCCTGTGGGCATTGCACATGTGTTGTATACATATAGGCAAAACATTCATACACATAAAATAAAATAAATGAAAGTCTAAAAGTAATGAATTAAAAATAATATTGCCAGGTTTGTTGAGAGTTGACTTACAGCAGAGTTAGCTTTGTGTATTTTGAATGAGAAATGCTGTACTTTTGTGCCCTATCACTAATCTAGTTGAAACGGGTATGTGAGCCATTTAAACTCCATGAGCTCCTCCTAGTATCTGTAAAATAACTATGAAGATACATCTTTTTCAAACTAGAACAAGAGAGATCCAGCTGGAAGAAAAGCACTGTGTACATTTCAAAGGTGATAGGCTCGTGGAGAAAGGCATCTTTTGTAATATATTCAGGGGATCATTGTTCTGTTTCAATAAGGTTACCAAGTTTCCAGTGCCCGTGAAGGTTTGACTAAATGGGTCAAACCTCTCTACTGTGAATTTCTATCTCTATAATGGCTACAAATGTGGTCTCTTAGAATACCTGGTTTGGGGACCAACTTTGAAATCTAAACTAAGGGTGAAAATAGATTTTTTTTTTCACAGCTTCCAGAAATACTTATGAGGAAAACTATAAAGACCGAAGGGTCATTTCCAAATTTTAAAATGATTTGTTTGAAATTCGTTTGGTTCAAAAATTCCTGGTTTAGGGGCAGTTGCCACTAAGCCTGATGATCTGGGCTCAGTCCCCAGACCTATATGGAAGGAGAGAGCCAGCACCCTGGAGTTGTCCTCTCACCTCCACACGGGCACCATGGCACTCTTGAGCTCAGCCACATACACATTAAATAAAAATAAATAAATAAATAAGCATGCAAGAATAAGAATAACTTGCTGGACTGTCTAAACATCTAATCCCTATAAGTAATACAGGTAGATTTTAAAGAGTACTCAGATCATTTTGGTTGCATTAATGGAGGGGTATTAGTATATCAGAACTTTGAAGACTTAGAAGATTTGGTATGGTGATTATAACTATATAAGGTAACAAGAAGAAACTCAAAATAGAAAGCACATGAGGTACTATTGAAGGCTTCTCTGATCAAGGACCTGCTGAGCTCTCCCTACAGTCACGGACTCTGCTTGGGGGTAGAGTTGGTGGGAAAATGGAGTAAATAGAAGAGGGCCAGTTGTTTTCCTAGAGCAGCGGTAATTGGAGTAGCCTTTCGGGGTAGAAGTTGGAAACATTAATGACATAAATCTCTTTTCCTTTCTCCCCATTTCTGTTCTGTATTGTTCAGGGCGATGTTGGGCTTGCTATGGGGAAATTATATGGAAATGACTTCAGCCAAACCACCATCTCTCGCTTTGAAGCCTTGAACCTCAGCTTTAAGAACATGTGCAAGTTAAAGCCACTTTTAGAGAAGTGGCTAAATGATGCAGGTCAGTGACAATACTAAGAAATTTCTTCATTGTCCATGGGATTTTACAGGAGGGGTTATTCTTTGAACTAAGGTCTTACTATATTGCTGATAAAACTGTTGGAGCTGCTAATTCTATGAGACTTTTATACATTATGATTAGGTAAGTCAAAGAGATATTTCATCTTAATATTCCAGTAATTACAGTATAAATAACCAGCAATCATTGTAGCCTTGCAATGTTTCTGTATTTGAACCAGGGTTAGGGATGGACATAGAGTGTTTGAGGATGAGGATAAGAAGGCCTGTGGGGATAATCTTGAAGAACACATAGATTACTTCTTCCTTCATAGATTGCTATAGAATTTGTTCCTGGTAATATTTCTACTTTTGTTAAAAATGGCCACCTTTAGGCCGGGCGTTGGTGGCGCACGCCTTTAATCCCAGCACTCTGGAGGCAGAGTCAGGCGGATCTTTGTGAGTTCGAGGCCAGCCTGGGCTACCAAGTGAGCTCCAGGAAAGGCGCAAAGCTACACAGAGAAACCCTGTCTCGAAAAAACCAAAAAAATAAATAAATAAATAAAAATGGCCACCTTTCATTAAAAAAAAAGTTAGGTTTCTGGTCTTGAATTATTTCTTTTCTTTTGAGATATCCTTTCAGAAATTTTGAATTTTGAGCCACAAAATCATAGACTTTGGGAGCTTTTTTAAAAGGAACCACAAGGGTGTCTAACTATGTTGTTTCCATTGTAGATAGAAACAAAAATTAAGCCTTTGGGAAAGAAGAACTTGAGATATACCCACACCTCTAACTATTGCTTGAGTAGCTGGGGGTGAAGGTTAGCTATCTGTTGTCTTCTTTGCAGTCACAGGCAAGAACCACTGACCTGCTCCATCTCAATTTACATGAAGTAGAAAGAAATCCACTGTAACATGCCCAGGCTTGTTCAACTGTTCAAGTACACCATCTTGTCCTTAAGGAAGTTTGAAGTACCTGCTCCCTACTATTATGCTGAGAAACTGAGAACTCATCTCTAAATTGAGCATTAAAGATCCAGTGATTTCCAAGAAATTTTCTTCCTTTTTATCCTTGGAGCTTATAAACAAAAGAACTAAGGGAAATAGAAGCGAAAAATAGGGGGTTGGGGATTAGCTCAGTGGTAGAGTGCTTGCCTAGCAAGTGAAAAATAGAACCTCTGTATCCTCAGAAACAAATAAAAAATGAATGGTGACGGGAACAAAGAATGCCAATAAGGGCAGTAGAAACTCGATGATAGTGAACAATGCTTCAGTGGAGATTACATTAAAAATCTCACACTAACATCAAGCTTTCAGTATTTTGCCAGTTCTATTGTTCCTGTGTTTTCTGTATGTGAATCCTTAAGCTCAGCTTTTTTCCCTATGTTTTCTTTATAGAGAACCTCTCATCTGATTCTACAGCATCTAGCCCAAGTGCCCTAAATTCGCCAGGGTTAGGGGCTGAGGGCTTGAATCGTAGGAGGAAAAAACGCACCAGCATAGAGACCAACATCCGTGTGGCCTTAGAGAAGAGTTTCATGGAGGTCAGTGAGCTCAGTGGGCATCACCAATACTACTGCTAGGGACTGTACATATTCAAACACAGCCTTGTCTTCCTCCACCCTGTTGAGCATTTGAACACAGAGGAAGTAAGATGCTATAATACTGCCACCTGAATACTGCAGGACTCAAGAGAGACCTTGGTTCTAAATTGGTAGGGAGCATAGGAATTAATCCTACAGACTGGAAAAGGTGGGAGAAAAGTACCTCAGACAGAGCAACTTCATGATCATTAGACCTCCAGAGGAAACCATACCTGTTCCAGAAGAGAAACACTTATGGCTAAATTTTAGTGTCTTTAATACCTAGAATGGTATTTTAGGGGCACAACACTAGAGACCTTGAATATCCTTTTATATAGTTCAAGTTAATTCAAGAGATATTGGGCTTT